TCTATTTCATTGTCTTGCATTTGTGAGGAGTGCTGTCCCACATTCCTCAGTCACTGCTACTGCAGCAAGGCAGGTTACTTGAAAAATGTGGAACAACAGGAACCAGACTGTGCTAATGATGAAATTATACTGATGGCTGAAGTTTAAGTAACAGTTAATGCACTAATTTCAGTATAGGAAATACACTAAAAAAGCAGTAAGAACTCCTCTTGATCCTCATAATTAATGAGAACTGCCATGATCCCTCAATATATTTCCACCCACAGTTTCTTTTATGTTAACGAGTGTGTAGAAACACACAGCAGTCAGCCAGGCAGAAAGGCCTTCCTTCAGAGTGCTTTCCATCACACTGTACAAGCCCTGTGTGATTCCCTGAAGGGTCCTGGAGCCAGATCTTGCCTGTGTTGAATCCTGGCCAAGAGTCTCATTTCTTTCAAGTGAAACAGCACAAAGTCAGCCCTTCAGACAAGAATGTACCCATCACACATCTGATCTACATGCACCCAAATCAGCATCATCAGCTGTGCTGAGCATTTCTGGAAGGAAGATGAGTGGAATACATATCACTTAACTTTAAACATCTCATTTGGCCTAATTCTCAACTACCCCTATAATTCATGGATGGAAGTGAGTGTTGTTAGAGAGCAATTAATCCAGTTTAGATGTCTGCAATATGATGAGGGAATTCCACCCCAGTGCCTGTTCCTCTGCACTCATTGTATAGGAAGTCCAGACATCTGGCTTGGATACAGATGCCTAAAGACAGATGAGAGGTTTCACCTAAGGAGATACAACAGAATCTGCTGGGTATTAGAGGCTTTGCAGTGGCTCTCGACTGGATAACAAATACCTGAAAGCATGGAACCACTTGTCTGAATCATTGCAACTGTGCAAGACCGTAATGAATTAAAAGCTGTTTACATGAGGTTTCTGAACTTCAGTGTTGGCCTAGAATGGGTGAGGCCTAAGCAGTCACTGATCCTCAAGATAAGAAGTTTTTTCAGCAGCTCTGTAATCAAAGGGAAAAAAAACCCCAGCTTTTCTTTAAATCACTGCTTTAATCTTGTTTCTCCCACCAGTGCTGGAATTCTGTGCTCTGCCACCAAATGCAGCAGGCTATTTATAGTGTCAGCTTGAATGAACAGTAAGAATTTAGGCTCTTGTTACGGCTGTATCTTTGAGATGATGGAAATCACAGGACTGAAAGTTGACAGTAATGAAGGTGCGCTGTATTTTCAAATGTAGCTGTTTCTGCCACCACTCTGATCCCACAGGTACATTGGCAGGGCAAAGGGATAGATTTGGCAGGGATTTCTACGCATGTGGTAGGGAAAAGACTGAAAGGATTCAACTCCGAAGCTTTTGTTGACTTCTGAGGTCCTGGTGTCACCATTTCATATGGCCTTTGAAAAGGTACCTTTGGGGGAAAAGTGAAGGATTGCGGCTTTAGGGATCATAGCCTATTGATACGTGGCAAATCAAGTGTCTCATCAGCTCTTTGGAGAGAGGAGCTTCTTTGCTGTTGGGTAATAAAATGGAAAGACTGCTTTGGCTGTCTTTATTCAAACAATATAGATAACAGCAAAACACAAAATGTTTCCTCTTTTTCATTTCCCCAGATGCATGCTTGAGTATCCCTTGTTTTCACATTACTTCGTGTAATGCTTCAGTTTGCAGGATAATTTAAAAGAAAACAGCTGTGAAGCTTTTTAGTGATCCTAATCGCTAATGCAAATAGGAAATCAGAATAATGCATCACGCAAGTGGAGACAGTTTTGACTATCTATGAGAAGCCACTTTTCAAAACAAGATACATATCATATCACATATAATAGGAGGGTAGTATATAGTTAGAGCTTTATTGGGCAAATGTGATAGCCCAGAAATGTCAGAGACTGCACATCAGCTTTGTACATGTAATGGTTTCAGTGAAAGTCAGGGTAAAATTAACAAGTCCTCATAGGCACTTAAGTGTCTCCTGTGCTTCTCCATGTCTTGGATCTTCAGTGCAGGGTTGTTTGCCTGTGAATCATAGAATGCTTTGGGTTGGAAGGGACCTCAAAGCTCATACAGTTCCAACCCCCTGCCATGGGCAGGGACACCTTCCACTAGAGCAGGTTGCTCCAAGCCCCTGTGTCCAACCTGGCCTTGAACACTGCCAGGGATGGGGCAGCCACAGCTTCTCTGGGCAACCTGTGCCAGTGCCTCACCAGCCTCCTAGGGAAGAACTTCCTTATATCTAATCTAAATCTCCCCTCTTCCAGCTTAAAGCCATTCATTGCCCCTTGTCCTATCCTTACAGGCCCTTGTCAAAAGTCCCTTTCAGGTATTGTTGGCCCCTTTAGGTATTGGAAGGCAATAAATAAATGTGGGAGTTTTTTTTTTTTTTTTTTTAATAGTAGTGCTGCTTTGCTGAATGATGGGATTTCAACATTTATTTTTATTCTGAAGCTTTGTTTGTGAAAAGCAGGTACAACAAAAGCTGAGGGATAGCTCTGTGGGAGAGCACTTGATGGCAAAGACACAAATCCAAGTCTACAGGTATTTCACTCACGTCACTACGGGAGCTCTGGCACTGGATGATCTTTCCTTCTCTCCCTGGAATTTCCCCTGAGAAAGCTTAGTCAGAGAGGCAGATTTGTCAGAATGATTCAAGGAAATGACTTAAGAGTTGTGAAATTTTTCTAGCTTCGTCTTATTGAAACCAGCAGGCTCAATTCTCCCTTTGGTTTTGCATCAGCGCTGCAGAATGCACAAGCACGAGGGAATCCTGGCTCCTTGGTGTGCAGGTCTGCCTCTTCTTCAGGGAGCATCCTATGCCTGACACAATGGATTGTAGGACACCCTGAGTCACTACTGGAACATAAAATATAATGGTCATTACAATATATGACTATTTATACACAGAGCCCTTGGGATGGCTGAGTTTGAAAGCAGAAAACCACAAGTGCTTTTAACATCAAGACTTGTGCTGCTGAAATGGAGAAACAATGAGCTGCTGCGCATGCCATGGGCTACTGGCAGACAAAATATACCCCCAGATGTGCTGACCTTCCTAGGGCTGTAAATTAAACAATTAAATGGAAGTTTTAGTAGTAAGAACAATTTAGCATGTATAAGGTACAGCATAAAATTGTGCAATTGATGAAAAAAGAGAAAGTTTAACTTCTGAGTGGTTTGAAATCCTACCCTGAAGCACCTGAAAACATTAAAGCTTTAAATTTACACTCCTCCTTACAAAATGCTTGGCTGCATGTAATGCTTCGTGCTAGTCTCTCTGGAACCCACCACATCACTCCATCACCATTTTGATAAGGAAAGAAACTTGGACCCAAGGATACAACCTGGCAGAGCAGGAAAACCAGGAGTGAAGATGGACAGGGAAGTGAGACCTCCTGAGTCCCAGCCTGATTTGATAGGCACCTTCTCCTCTAGTTCTCCTGGTGGCATCTTGTCTCCCTAGGCAACTACAGATTAGAGAGGAGACAAAATAGCTTGATTCCAGAACTGGAAAGCAATGACTGGAGCTTCGATGTAGGGAAAATGTCAGGGAAAGACAGTGAACTAACAGTTGAAGCAGAGGCGTCAGAGGCAGGTGCTTCAGGTTCTATTTTTGACTCGGACGAGCCAATTTGCTTCTCTCTGCTTTGGCTTCTCCTCTGCAAGATGAGGATGCCAGCAGCTGCCTCCTGGGTGTGGGTTGCTTTGCTGAGGCCAGGGTTGTCAAATCTCCTGTTCTGGATGATGCTCACTTGACCTCAGCTTTGTTCTCTGCATTGTTGCCTGCATCTACTTCACTTGCATCTCTGCTGTGCTTTCCTGGACCTACACAGGGTGTAAAAGGCACACAGGAACATGTTTTGGAGCTGTGCAAGGTGGGACCTTCCTCTATTACTGCATGGCCTGAGGGCTTCCCCATGGCAACTGATAACCAAACAAGATGATGTGGGGGTCTATAGAGCTGGTAAAGTCCACTAAATGGAATTGTGGCCCTTGCACCTCTCTCTGAATTAGATACTATTGCAGGGCACAGGCAATAGATAGGTGCTTGAGTTGTGTCCAGAGACGGGCAATGGAGCTGGTGAAGAGTCTGGAGCACAAGTCTGATGGGAATGGTTGAGAGACCTGGAGGGGTTTAATCTGGAGAGGGCTCACGGGGGACCTTATCACTCTCTACAGCTACTTGAAAGAAGGGTGGAATGAGCTGGGGATCTGTCTCTTCTCCCAGGTAACAAGACAGAGCAAGAGGAAATGGCCTTAAGCTGCACCACGGAAGGCTTTCATTGGATATTAGGAACAATTTCTTCACCAAAGGGTGCTCAAGCATTGGAACAAGCTGCCCAGGGCAGTGGTGGAGTCACCATTCCCGGAGGTATTTAACAGATGTGTAGATATGCGGCTTGGGGACATGGTTTAGGGGTGGACTTGGCAATGCTGGGTTAACAGTTGGACTTGATCTTAAGGGTCTTTTCCAACCCAAACAATTACGTGATTCTCCGAGCCTGCTCCGTTATATCCCCATCTAATGTTAGCCCAGCTACAGCTCTGGTCTTTACAGCAGAGGGGTGGTGAGGGACAAGTGATGATTATCAGCCGGGCCCACCCTTCCTGGCTCTGAATGAATGAGTTTCCAAGGCTGCGGGTGCTTTCTCTTTGCTGCATTCCCCAGAAAATCCCTGGTACTTGGGCTATCCTTCCTTCCAGGAATCACTGCCAGCTCCTCCTGTCCTTCTATCAGTCAAATCCGCTACCGTGTAAATTCAGGTGTGCTGCGAGACCAGATCGGTCGATCCCGGAGCCCGGATCGAGTGTGGCGGAGCAGGGAGCCCGAGCACAAGGTGCACTTCTCGGTTATTTCTGATGTTAAAGCTCTCACGTTGAGGGCTGCGGCCGGGAGCCGCCTCCGCGCTGCCTTTCCACCCTCCCACCCCGCTTCCGGCAGGCGCCGAGGACCGGCAACCAGGAGGATCTCGGCGCGGGGCGGCCCCTTTGTTCGCGCGGGTCGCAGGGCCCGGCCGTGCCCCGGCCCGGCAGCAGGGAGGGAGGGGCCGAGGCTCGCTACCGCCTTCCCGCCGCGCTCCCGCCTCAGCCGCGCAGGGCGGGTCTCGGCGGCCGCCCGCCAGCGGCTGCAGCCTGCGGCGGCTCGGGGCTCCCCAGCCGCTGCCCGGGGGTAAGGAGGCAACAAAGGAGGGGCGACGGCCGGGGAGCGGGTCCGCGGAGCGCCCGGGAAGAGGGCTTGGCGGCGGCGGCTGGAGCATTGCCCTTGGGCGGGGCGGGAGGCACCGTCCTGAGGCGGGTGCGGGCGGTGCTGCGGCCGCGCTGGTCCCCGCAGCAGCGCCGGAGGCTGGGTAGAGCGCGGCACGGAGCGGGTGGCTCGGGGGGGTACACACCCGCGTACACACATCCGCTGCTGCAGCCTCGCCGCCGGGTGCTGTGCGGTGACGGACACCCGCCGGGGCAGCTGGAGCGGCAGGGCCTGTCGCTGGGAAGATGGAGCTGAGGGTGGGTGGCAGCATCCATTGCTCGAGGCCGAGCGAGTTTAGGTTTGAAACGGGGGAGAATTCTCTTTTGTCTGCGGGAAGCTGGACTGCTCAGTCTGCTCTCTGCGTTGTTGCTCTTCAGTGATACAGATATCAGCATTAACTGTGTGCTGCAGGATTTGATGGGGTTTTGTCTGTTGTAGCAAGATGTGCTTCTGAGGAAGGCCCATCAGTGTTGGGCTGCTGTCATTTGCAGGGTGAATGGAGCGGGATGTGCCTCTTGTACCTCCTGGTGCAAATCAGTGAATGGTCTGTGTGGGAAAGCATCCAGGGATGGAGGCAGAGGCGTGTGTTATCTCCAGGGTGTCTAGGCAGGCTGCAGCAGCGTTAGGGAAGAGCTGGGAGACAAAGCACTGTGTCAGTGCTGGCTGTTACTTGCTGCTCTGTTGGTTGTCAGTCTCGTAGGCCTGCAAACCTTGTCTCAGGAGCTCATCCTGCTGGAATGGATGTCAAGTTTCACCAGTCCGTCCGTTACTGCTGGCTAGAAGAGTTTCCTTGAGGGTGACTTGCAATTTGAGGTATATTTGGGGTGCATGGCATGTGTGTTTGCCTTAGCCTCTGCCTAGCAGTGCTCCAGGAGGGCCCCGTTAAACAACACGGGTCAGTCCTGCCCCATCGTTGCTGGGGAGGTGATGCTTTAAATGTGCTGCAGCTGCCAATTTTTAAACTGGGATATGGGATTTGGCATTTTAAGACATTACCTGCCTGCTCTTACAGCCTGCCAGGGCTAGGATGGGGAGAGTCTGCATCAAACAGCTGTGTTCTCATGAAAATCTGTCACCGTGCCTGCCAGAAATCACTGAGAGTACAGGACTTCAAAGGCTCAGCTCTGAGACAAGCCCCCTGTTAAACCATTGGCACCAGCCATTATGGGCATATCAGAGAGAAGCTGTGCTGGCACCAGTCTGTCACCTCAGGAGCACTGATGTGTGTGAGGGGCCTGCCTTCATTTAAGGGGAAACCAGTGTGTTTGGGGAGATGTTCTTAAGAACTGTACAGACTGAGTTGTCTGCTGAGGCTGAGGAGCTCCTCTTCTGCTCAGCTTCCTGCCGCCTCTAGCCTTGGAAGCTGCCATCATTTACTCCAGCAAGTAGCAGTTCCCGATACATTTCCTCTTTCTCCCCATTTGTGCTTCTGCTCTGGCAGAAGAAATGATGAAGAACCCAGAGGGGAATTTCCCAGTGTCAGGGGTGCAGCTGTGGAAGGGTACAGGTGCCAGTTCTTCCCTTCCATTACTTTTAACCATGGGTGGTTAAAATGGTAAGAGCACAGGTTCTACCTCCTGACTGAGGTTGCTTTTTTTATTTATGAAAATGCCTCCTTTATCCATGAAACTTAGGAGGAATAAATAGTTTGGGGGAGGGAGGGAGGTATCATCATTCTGGTGAGGATGAGAGTCAATATATAAAGCAAGTTCCATCTGCCAGATGCAGGGTGTCAGTACCACTTTGTAGACTGTATACAATGCATGGCAAGGTTTATGTACTGTTAAAGCTCTGGGAAAGACGAGGTAGCTAGATCTGAACGTGGTTTGTTGCTAACCTACATTAGACACTGCTGTGCACTAATTTAGAGATGTCTGTAGGTATTTACAGAAATGTTTTTCATAAACATCGTTTATAAACACCTTGAACCTCGTTTCCCCCTCTATCTCACAAGGGGTCTGAGCACAAGAACAACCAAGGAAGTTGCTGATGTGAGGCAAGAAGGCATATTTTCCCCCTTCTGCTCAATTGCTGAGTTAAAAGCAGCCAACAGTCTCTGGCTGTGGTTCTCTTATCACTATTCTTTTGATATTTACAGTAGAATTTCAGGTTTTGTTTGGGAGAGCACCTTGGCTCATGGTACTGGTGATGTCAGACTCCAGCAAGACTGGGACTTTGTTTTACTGGTCAGTTTTCTAAACCAACCAGATTAGGTAATTTAGTGAATCAAGATGACAAACTGTCTAAGCTTGCTCCAGAAGCTCAGGGCAGAGAAAGGAATTGGACTTGGTCTTCCTGAGTCCTACTCTAATCCTTCCTTCTCCATGGGGCTGGCCTTCCCAGGGAAAGCTCTGGTCTCCGTGACTGATACTGGTGGAGAACAGAGAAGTCTGTCAGTGCGTCGATGTACAAAGTCTCTTTCTGCAGTACCACCATGCTCCTGGAGCATCTCCCCTTGCTCTGCTGAGAGGACCCTGTGTGCTGTGTTGTGTGGTTGAGCTGCAGTGCTAAACAGGACAAAGCAAATTGACTTTCCTTGTAGCTGGATTTAATTTCTTACTCATATGACTGTGCAGTAGCTCTTGCTGTAGCTACCAGTGGGAAAATGACTTCGTTGCATGTGACTCTGAGGCTGGCACCTTAAACTGATAGTTACTGTTATTCCTGACAAACATCCTGAAGAAATGCTGTAAAACAAAACCAAACACCACAATAGCTCTGCTTTAGACTTTTTGGAAATCATTCCCATGCGGTGGCGTGGTTTTTATCTCCTCCTAAATGAGTGGAACTGTCTATACAATAGGCATGGTTGGTTGAGAGACAGTGTAAGCAAAGAAAGACCAATGAAATGAAGAAATGGAACCAAACGTTGTGATATATCGTTGTCATGGTTTAACTTATTTTACTTCAGCCCATGGTTGGAACTAGGTAACTTTCAAGGCCCCTTCCAACACAAATCATTCTATGATTTTATTCTATGATGGAATAAAATATGATGCTGACTTGAATTGGCACTGAAATTAGGTGAGCCTTTCCTTTCAGTGATTTATTTTATTATGCTTGTGTTTTCCCACCTGCATAGTTGTAGAGAAACGTGTGCACAGACAGTGGAATGCCCTGCTGTGGACTCTGAACCAGCTGTGAGGTCCCATCTCCCCATCCTCATCTGTGCTGAAGCACAAAGGAAGTCTGAAGTTCTTGTTTGGTTTATTTTGGGAGTTAATGTTCTGAACTCTGCTGTTGACTCCCTTGATAGCTCCATTTGTGCCTGGGAAAGCCAAATGCTTCTTTTTGAAAAGTATTTGTACTCTGTGTCTATAAACACTTCAGAAAGATTTCCCAAGTCCTTTGGTGGGCTGGATGTTCAGTGGTGCCTAATAGAGTCGAGCAGCTCTTCATCTCTGCTGCTGTTCCTTAAGTAATCTTGGGAAAAATCTGTTTTCTCTGTATTTCTTTCTCCCCACATGGGTGTTGCAGCTCTGAACTCCTTTGAGGTCTGTGAATTAAATGCTCTGTGGATGTTGGAACTTTTTAACCACTTCTTGGTGTTTTTCAGTCCCTTCCCTGTGCTCCCTCAAATGGTTCCTTTTAAAAAGATAATGTGAAGAGAGTTGTATTGCTTGGGCCAGAGCTCTCGCTGAAAATGAATTGTTTTGTTTGCAGTGGTGTAGTAAAGGCTGCATAGATGTTGGTTATGCTGGAAGGGCTTCACAACAAATTGGAATGACAGAGGCTCCCAAGAGATCACCTGTCCCAGGTTATGTCCATCTTCATCCTTGTAATTCGGGACAGAGGTTTGAGGATTTTTATTCTTAAAGAATGATGTGGGCAGTGAGGGTTTTTCTCCAGCCTCCCTGGCCAGTCTAGCTCAGTTACAACTGCAGAGCATGTGTCTTCCCCTTTGTTTTGTTTATTGTCGTTATGGCTTTGTATATCAGCCTCTTACTCTACAAAGGACCAGTACAAAGGTGTTTCATTGACAAAAGCCGCACAATTTCTTCTGCAGCATGAACTTCTTTGGCAGCACATCCTCTGGCGGGGCAGAGGAAGGCTTCCAAAGTGAGGCACCAGCTTCTGGCATAGGCACCAGCAAAGGCTTTCTCTGGCTGGTCTGTTCTTTTTCTTCCTTTGACATATTCCTCCCCCATTATCTGTTGTATCATGCTCTGAAAACTTCTGTGTCCGCCAATTAGTGCTGGAAACTTTTCAGCCATCCTGACAGGCACAAAAAGCAGCTGCCTGGTGAAACAAACAGCACTTCCCATCCCTTGCATCCCTCCCATTCATGACCTACAAGCACATCCCCTGGATGGAGAACAAACCTCCCTGGAAAGATGCCTCTCCTGGAAGATGTGGAGAGGTCTTTATGTCATGAGATGTGTTTAATGGGCTTTTTAGCCTCGTATTTGACTGTTGTATATTGTGTGCTGTATTACCTCAGTAGCTTCTGTCAGCCCTCTGTGTGAAGCCTATCCTGGTGATTAAAGGCTGCTCCTTAGCTATATTTAGCATAAAGCTATTTGTTTTATAACTGAGATCCTTACTACACTAACTGGAGTAGGTCAGTCTGCAACCTTGAATAAGTGCATTTTTTTTTCCTCTGGACTTCTGTTTCCCAGCTGGTAAGCTTGTCACGTTATAGCTGATGACCAATCCACCAGCCATCCCTAATGGAGATTTAATGAGGAGCAATATGGCACTGAAAGGCAGGCTTGTGTGGAATATACTGCTGGGGCAGGGAAAGCTTATGTTTTGCCTTACACTGTTCATCTTTTATGTATCTGTGTATGTAGTCTTGTAGTGGGATCTATGAAGTAGATTTTGAACTTGCTAAATCATAGAATCACAGAATGGTTTGGGTTGAAGGAGCCTTAAAGCTTATCCAGTTCCAATCCCCTGCCATGGAAGGGCCACCTTCCACTAGC